CGATGGGCGTTAAAAAAGGCGTTGAAAAAAATTATTATTCACAAGTCTTCAATGGGAGGGGGAGTGTCACTTCATAATTCATTTGATAATGATGATGACATGACAAGCTATCATCATCATTCTTTCAACCAAAAAAAATATCGTGTGACAAACTGAATGAAAAATGATGTATCCAAAATTGACAGCTTTCAAATAATAATGATGATGAAGTAGACCACCATTCAAATGATGATGATTATTATTGAATTCAACATTGGTGGTCACCACCATTATCATCATCAATTTTTTTTTCTCGTTCAACCACAACGATTTTCATTTTTTCATTCATTCAATCGATCGATCGATTTGCACCAAAAAAAAGTTGGCTAAAACGAAAAAATCATTATCAAAGAATGTTTTCATCATCCTCATAATTATCAATGGGTTAGGCTGGAAAACATTTAACCCTTTCGTTTCATAAAGGGGGAAAAAACACAAGGTTAGAAAAAATGAATTAAGAATATAAATTCCAAAAAGTTTTTCATGTGGAATATATTTGAATTGAAAAAAATAGTTAATTTTTTATCCATTTTCATTGAATTAAACAAACTAAAAAACTTTAACATTTTGATTCTTTTCTGGTTGTTTTGGTTGTTGAAATAAAAAAGAGTTTCTGGTCCAGAAACAACAACAACATTATAACAACATTTTATTTAAATTTTTTTAAAGTGTTTCTTTTTTATTTTCATGATTCTTCGACTCATCTTTCACTCGTTCATGTTGTTTTTGGTTTCTCATTTCCATCATGATCATCATAATCATTGTCAAGAATTAAATTTGCTTCGAAAAACACACACAATATTCAGGACTAACTCTTGGAACAGTTTTTTTGGTTTGGAAAAAGTTATGGCTCATTATTATTATCATTTTTAGTAATTTTGGAGATGATGATGATGATGAGAGTTTCTATTCTTTACTTTTACTTTTATGACGATTATTATTATGATAATGATAATGATGGGCACACATTACAAGATGGTTTTAGATTCTTGTCTACATTATTATTATACAGAATATGATGCAGGCAACTGTTCATCATCATCATCATCATTGGAGGGATAGAGAAAAAAAGCCGCAAACAAACAAATAAAATTTTTTTGTTTCTACATTTTAAAATGGAAAAAAAACTACCAGAAATAAAGAAAAAAAAGGGTTAAAAGTTTCCAAAGAATCATCTTGTTCTCTCTCTCTCTCTCTCTCTCTCTCTCTCTCTCTCTCTCTTTCTCAACATCATCATCCTGATGCTTTTTTTTCAAAAAACCATCACGACGAAAGATAATATCATTATAATCGGTTATATCGGATAGTGGAATTTATAATTTGATTACCATATCGCACATACATACATACATACTCGGAATGTCTGTTTCTCATTTCGTCGTCGTCGTTATCAATAGTCTTTGCACGTTGTATATGGATTTTGTTGTTGTTGTTGTTGTTGTTTCTGGTTGTTGTTGTTACATTTTTATTTTTAAAAAAAATAAGAAACTATTTTTGAACGAAAAAAAGTTTTCAGAAAATATGTTTCATTCGGTTGATGTTCTGTCCTGTTTTTGGTTGGTTTGGTTTCAAAAATTTTCAAAATTTTAATGTAGTTGTTGTTTGAGATGCTCGTTGGTCATAAATTAAACAAAAAAAACAAATGTTAATTGTAATCAAACATTTTTTACCTTTGTTTCATTTCTTGAATGTTTTCAATTTGTTTTTTCAATTGTCTTTTGCTTTTAAAATGATTAAATTCCTTTTCATTCTGGAAACAGTTTTCTTCACACCAGCAACAACATCCTGGATTCAAAGAAAAAAAAATTCATTTGAAAATTTAAATAAAGTAAATCGATTTCCAAAATCTAATACACCTTACCTAGAGAAAGAAGAAAGACAATTTTTTTTTTTAAACGAAAAATTTAAATTTCGATCTTGCAAAGTGAAAAATTTGAAAACTCTATGAATGTCTATTGAATGACTGTATGCGAATGTCAGTTCGTGTTGAATAATAATTTTCAAATTAAACTAATTTAACTCAATCAAATTTAGAAAGGGGGAAGGAAAAAAAACAAAATATTCTGGTTATAATGAAGACGAAAAATTTCTTTGTAAAAGTTTAAATAAAATTATTTTTTCGAAAAAAAAGAAAGAAAGAAAGAAACTAGCTTTGTTCGTGACTCAAAGAATCCAAACCAAGGATTCTTAGGTCGGTCATTCCAGCCCCCCACTCTCGATTCGTTTCAGAATCAAAGAATTTTCAATGGAAACGATAAAAGACACAGAAAATGTTTAATGAAATTAAACATTCATTTCGAAACTTTTTTTTGCCCAAAGAAACAAAAAAAAACACACAAATATTCATTGATCAAACATGGTTGTTACATTTAGTGTCTCTTTGCTGTTTTTCCAAAAAGTATGGACCATATTGTTTGATTTTGTTTGACTATAATTTTGTCTGTTCTAACAATGTTTGTTCCAACAACAACAACATGATGATTATCATATCCAAAATGATTTTTCAATTTTCATCATCATCATCATCATTGTCACTGTTCTCCATAATCATTGATTATCTAAATCACTCTGTAGTTACATTATTGAATGTTAAGTAAAAAGGAAAAAGACAAAGACAGAGATAGAAAAAGACAAGCAAGAATCTTTGCATAACAATTAATCTTAATTTCATCATCATACGAAAATGGACTTTTGGATTTTTTGTTGTCCCAAAAAACAAAAAAAAAACAACAAAAGCAACAACAACGATGCATATATTCACATTTTAGATAATTGTATTTTATCTTTTGTTTTTTTTGTTGTTTTTTTGCTTTTTTGATAATGATTATGGGTGATAGTAATCATTATTTGATGTAGAAAAAACTACTACTGTTCAGACTTGATTCAAAGACTTGAAGACACTTGTCATCAGCTTTTTTTTCTGTTGTTATTTTGTCGGCGTTTTTTTTTGTTGAATTAGAAAATTATTATGTAATGCCGACAACAAGCAAATGAAATGAAATGACAACAAACTAACTAACTAACATGTCATCACTCTTCACCAAATTGTACACTCTAACCAAGCAGAAATTAGAACCAGAAATTTTTATTTTTCATCTGGAACATGGAAGGAGACTGCCGAAAACAAAAAGCAAAGCAAAATTTGCATCACATAACCATCACAAATGATTGTCATTGATGATGACAATAATGTTAATGATGAAAAAACAACAACCAGAAAAAAAAATGGACAAATTACAGGTTATTGCTTTTCATATATATCGCTACAACGTAAACTTTATGGACAAATTTTTCATTATTCATTTTCGTAAAAAAACAGAAAAAAATGTCAATGACAATTTTGTCCATCAACAACAGCAACAGCAACAATGTTAATGAATTATCAATTGAATAATGAATAATGTGACGTGGGTAAAATCCAAAAAACAAACGAGAGAATCTTGAAAAAGTCCAAGAAAAAAGAAGAAGAAGAAGAAGAAATATGATTAGACATGAATTAGAAACCTTTAAATATATCATTAACATCGTGAAATGATGATGAAATGAAATGAATGAATGAATGAATGATGGACGAATAGTTTGGTTGGCTGCATTTTTTCTTCTTTTTTTGCTACTTTGATTTCTTTCTCATTATTATTATTATTATTATTATGATAATGATTCAATGAATTCATTTTGGTTTAAACTAATGATATCTATGAAATAATAATAAAAAATCAACGTCAAAAAAGATTCATCAGGTTTCTTGGTCACATTTTGCATTTGTTTCATTTGCTTTGATAATCCCTTTTTTTCCTTATTATGAATTAACGAGATCCTAGATTGACAAACCATGATAAATGATAAAACAACAACAACAATCACCGGAAAAAGTTTTCCAGAAAATCTGGTTGTTTAGCGATGAAAGAAAAAAAATTCCCAGGAAATTTCTCAAAAGTAAACAACCATTTGTGTGTGTGTGGTTAGCATCTGTGGAGAAAAAAGAAATAGTTGCAAAATCTTGATTTGGTTACAATGTTATTTTTGCTGGTTTTGTGTGTGGTTTTTTTCTATGGTTTTCTGGTTGTTGTTGAATTTCGCCATAAACCAAACCAACCAACCAACACACATCAATTGGATGCAAATCTTATCTGAAAAAACAAAACCAAAAACAACAACATCTGTTTCCAAATATTTCAAATTCTCTTTTTTTGCTTCAGAATTCCGTAAAAATTGATTCCTTTCGCAGAAAAAACAACAACAACAACAACGAAAAAAAGACGAAGGATATGCACAGAATGTGAATGATATTTAAATTTGTTTTTTTGCTATTGTTTTTTTTATTATATCGCACGCGTCAAGGATGTCATTTCCAACTGGTGATGATGATGATTAGATCAGTTTCACCAAAAAAAAAGAATGGATTGAATCGACGCTTTTCCATTGGTTTTTTTTTCCTCCGTTACTTACTTATTTGAATTTGAATAAATTTTCAATTTTCAATGGTGTTATCTAAATTTAAACCAGGTACAGCCATCTATCGAGTGAAAAAGTTTCTTTTTTTTGAATATCCAAAGGATTAAGGATAACCAATGATTATCCAGAGATTAAGAAATCTTTACGTAATTTTTTTTTCTTAGTAAAACAAAACAAAATAATCATTCAAAAAATGGTCAATCATCAAAAGGTTATTATTAAAATTTAAATGTCCATTATAATTGACATATAAAAACATTATAATTATAAAAATAAAAAAATCACTGTTATTATTATTGTCTTTTTGAATTGAATTGAATAATTTCATTAAAAATTTAATTTTATCTGATTAATTTTATCCATATGGTCATATTGTCAACAACAACAACAACAAATGTCCAATTTGTTTTGAAAAGAGTTGAAAAATCTCCTCCGATTACATAGGATATAAAATGACCGATCGATTGATCGATTTGACATTGCATTTTATTGTATCGATTATTCCTTTTTTCGTTTGTTTGAAAAATCATCGAATATCAATGTTCAAAGTATGTTTGTGATTGATTTGTTTTCATGATTAACATTTTCATTTTCTTTTTCTTATTTTTCCTGATCAACAGTTGTTACTTTTGGTTAGTTTGGCCATTATGGCTTATGGTTCTCATTATCATGGCCATCATTATGGTCATCATCACCATCATTCGGTACATTTACCAGTTCATTCAAGTCATCATGTTAAATATTATCATGTTCATGGACATCATCAAATACATCCAATTCATGTTGAAGGTAATTTTTTTTCACTGAAAATGACCAAATAACCGATAATCAATTTTTCATTATCATACTGATTAGTCGAAGCACATGCTGTACCAATACATATGACATTTAAATCAAAATCATCACATCTTTCAATTGATCAACATCATGAAAATACTGGTGGATCACATAAAATATCACATTCTGAAGGTAAATATATTTAAATTTCACAAGGATTTTCAATAACAATTTCTTTTTGTTTTCCAATGGATCAGATGAACCACATTACCTGAAACATTATGTAAAAAAACCAATATATCAAGAAGTACATGAAATAATAACACCATATAGAAAAATTACACAAAAAATTGAACCAGTTCATGAAGAAATTGAAACATTGGTTGCGAAAAAAAGTCATCATCATCATCATGATTATCATCATCAGCATGAAGAAAAACATGAAGATCATTATGAGGAAAAAAAACATGAAGATCATTATAGATATCATGGTGGAAGTGGCGGCGGTGGTGGTGGTGGTGGACGCTGAAAACAAATTGGAAACGATATTGATTCGAAAAAATGACATCAGTTTGTCATTTCCCTCATTTCCTTTATTTATGAAATTTAATTAATAAAATTTTAAAATTTTGAAAATTAAAAAAAATTGTCTGTTTTTTTCGGTTTCAAATTACTGAGGAATTTCAAATTTTGTTTTTTTACCGGTTAATGATTTTCGATCATACCACCGATAGTCACCTTAATTATTGATTGATTTTGAATTTTTTTTTCCAGAAGTTTTCCAAAGAGAGAAATTTTCCCGGCTATATAAAAACAAAGTTGAATGAAAAAAATTTTACTCATTCAAGAAATTCTTCATCGCTTATTCAATCAATCATCGAGGAAACAAAATGTTTATCAAAAATGTAAGTTTTTTATGAAAAAAAACTTTCTTTTTTTTTACCCCATAATAGTTTTTCATTCTTGTCGGTTTATCAATGATGATTATCATTGTTGATTCAACAAAATATGATCATCATCATGGTTATCATCATAAACATCATCATTCGGTACATTTACCTGTTAAATCCAAGCATCATATTAAATATTATCATTCGAAATCTGAACATCATATACATCCAATTCATGTTAAGGGTATTGCTAATGAATGATTTTAGTTCTTTTGTCGTTTTGTTTGTTGTTAATCCCTTTGTTTTTTTCAATGTTTTTCCGTTTCCAAACAAAGTTGATGCACATGCCGTACCAATACATATGGATTTTGAATCCAAATCATCACATTTAATGGTCGATCAACATCATAAAAATTCTGGTGGATCACATAAAATATCACATTCAAAAGGTCAGTTTTTCCTTGTCTATTTTTTTTGAATATAATTTTGATTCTTTCTTTTTTTGTTTCAGATGAACCACATTACCTGAAACATTATGTCGACAAACCTGTATATCAAGAAATTCATGAAATAATCAAACCATATAGAAAAATTATTCAGGAAATCAAACCAGTACACGAAGAAATTGAAACAATTGTAGCCAAAAAACATGAAGATGATGGTCATCATGATGATTATCATCACAAGAAAGAAGAAGAACATAAAGAATCATATGGAAAACATGGTGATGATGAACATTATGGTGACAATCATCATTATGATCGATAATTTGCTGTTTTCAACAACAACAAAATCATGATTTTCAAACAAAATTTTCTTATTTAATTTTTTCCCTGTTCAAAAATGACGTAATAAAATTGATTTCCTTTTACATTATTTTTTTCAACAAAAGAACAAAAAATCCATTTACTACAAGAATCAAAATGAAAATTGACAAAAATTGTCCAAATTGAGCCATTTATCATCTGTAAATGTGTCTAAACAAAACAGAAATTCACGATATTTATTATGATGATGATGATGATGATGACAGTTTAGTCCAAAGTTTCAATTGCATTTCATTTCATTTCACTGGTCAGTAGTATTAAATGTCCAAATCATCATTCGGTTGTCGTTATCCACTCTTATTGTCTGTGTGACAATGAAAGAAGAAGAAAAAAAAAAGTTAATTTCGATAATTTGTCCATCACACACACACACACACACACACATCATCCATCCTTATCATTTCACCAAAACACATACAAACCACTCCTAAATGTTTCAAACCAACCAAAAACCCAAAACAAAATTATTATATAATTTTGGTTTTATAGCAATAAATTACCAACCAGAAAAAAAAATCAGTTTTGTTGTTTTGTTGTTTTGTTGTTGTTGTTTTTGGGGTCTTTATCAATGTCAAAATTTTCTAGACTTTTCTCGTTTATGTAACTAACTAACTATATTATGTTGATATTGGGAAATCATTTTTTTTCTTTTGATTTAACACTAATAAATCATGAAAATGTTATTCCATTCTACAAAAATTGATGACAAAATAATATGATCATTATCTTCATCATCTTCGTCATCATAAACAAATATGATGATGTGAAACTAAAGAACTGACCAGAAAAAAAATGACAAGTTTATACACATTGGGTCAACCACATTTGATCAATTGTCACTATTATTTTTGGTTCATTCATTCCCCTGGAATTATCAAATAAACATTGTTTTGTTTTTTGTTTGTCAAACAAATTGAATCTTCAAGAAGAACAAAAATGTCATTATTTTGGACTTCAATCAACAAACAAGGGATGTATATCATATTCATCCAGAACAAAAAAAAAACCAGAAGAAGAAACAGAAACAGAAGCAGCATTTAGCAAGCAAAAGAATCAAACTTAATTGTTCGCATTCACTTACTTATTCTTTATTTGTTGTTGTTGTTGTTGTTGTTTTTTGGTTGATACAATGTTTATATTCGAACCGAATAACAACAACAACAACAAAAAATAGCTGAAGTAGAACTCCTTCATCATCATTTTTTTCTTCAGTTCGGGTGATACAATTAGTTTTTTCTACCGCTTTTGAAACTTAATTTTCCATCATCATCAACAACATCAACAACAACGACGACAACGACATCATCATTTTTTCTTCCAATTCACTAATTTATGATGACAGCAGTAATTACAATAATAATTTTTTTATTTTTACTGCTGAACAACATTAACAATTTTCTTGTAATTTACTTATTGGTTGTTGTTGTTGTTTCTTTCTTCTTCTGCTCTGTTGTTCATCATTTCCAAAGATAATTAATTAATAATAATAATAATTTTTTTCCTTTAACACTGTGTTAAACAGAGAGGAGCGAAAATAAAAAAAAATCCAAATCAACCAAATATAATGACATTTGTTTTTTTTTTTTGGATAAATATTCGTTGAATATAAAAAAAGAAATTTACGTTAATTGTTCCTCTTTGTTTTGTTTCGTTTCGTTTTTTGATGTGTGTGTGATTTGTCGATGACAGCACTCGACTATCATCATCATCATCATCACATCAAACAATCAAAAAACGCAAAAAAAACAATGAAATATTGTTTGGTTGATTCAGTGTGTGTGTTTTACGTTGACATAACCCTCGTGAGCTAATCAAATCTATCATATACAGATCACCATAATGACAAACAACAACAAACAAAACAAAAAACAAAAATTCTCAATTTTTTTCGATGTGAACATGAAGCAAACGAAAAAAAATCAAATTTCATATTTTTTTTTGTTTTGACATTGTTACAATTAGTGTAACAAATGTTACCATCATCAATTAATTTCTGAAAAAAAAGAAGAAGGTTAGGTTAAAGGTCAAAATTGTTAACCACTAATTACCACAGAGGAGAGGATGAAAAAATTAAAAAACAAAACAAAAAAATAACCAAAATCTCAATAGATTTCATTTATATCTTCCTACTCTGCGTGTTTGTATCTCTTTTGATAATGATAACAATTTTTTTTATTTTCATTGTAATAAAATGTATTCAACTAGCTAGAAATGAATCTAAATAGATACATTCCCCAAAAAAAACGACGATAATAATAACGATATTTCTTTATTTGAAAAAAAATTGATGGCTCCCATTTAAAAACAAGATACATACATACAGAGATAAACACTGTATATGTATGTATCGTATACAAAGTTCCAGATGATAATAATTGCTATAATTTAATAATAATAATAATAATAATAATAAATGATGGCTTATAATCGATTATAATATTTATTATTATCGTTATCGTTATCAATAACGATATGAAATAAGATGAAGAGGGGGTTAAGGGGAGAGAAGAGGGATAGAGAGAAAAAAAATGTTTAAAAAATTCAAATTCAGTGGCCTCAAGTTATCTTCATATTTTTTTCCAAAGCAGAATGAAAAAATAATAATAATGGGGAAATATATTTAGGTTTTGATAATGTTTCTTGGATGTGCGATTAAGAAAAGTAACAACAACAACAACAACAACAACAAAAACGAAAAAAGAATAACCATTATCAGTAAGAATATTCTCTATTGGTTTTGGGTTTTCCATAGTTGTTGTTTGTAACCAAAACCAACCAACTATGCATACACATGAATTGAATGCTTAATTGCACCCGATTGGATTTTTCTTTTTTCTTTTTTTTTGTTGAATATTTTGCCATTAAAATAATAATCATCATAATGGTTGATGGGTTATAATAATAATCATCTAAATATTCTTGTGTAGGTGGTTGGATGGATGGATGGATGGATATTTTTTTTTGCATTGAAAATGTTTTTCGGATGCAAATTTTTGCTGTTGTTGTTGTTGTGGCTTATGTGATAAAGGATTTTTTTTTGCTACAAATAAGCATCATAACTCTCAATAGACTAATAAAATAAAAAAAGATTATTTGAAAAAAATTTTTTGTGGAAAATTTTTCAGGGAAAAATGAATGCTGGACGATTCTATTTCTGGAAATATTCTTCTGTGGTTCAAACTAAACGCAGAAATCGATTATGCGATAGAATGCAAATGAAGAAACATTAATTAATTAAACACTTTGGGGGAGGGAAAATTCAAATGTTTTCAATGTGAAAATTTCCAGGAAAATTTTCTATTTGCGGATCTTTTCTGGACACCACCATCACTACCACCACCGACGATATACCTTGATAGCTGATTAATTTATATTCAGTGTTGATGAGAAAATCATATAGTCAGAGAGAAAGAGAGAAGCCAAGGGAGAAACCAATGGAGAAAACAGGGCGTTAATATCCTCATCACGAATAATGATAATGATGATGATGACAAGAAACATTTCATTTTTGGTTTGAATTTCTTGTTGACAGAAAAAATTGAAAACAAAAAAAAAAATTAAAAAAAAAACAAAATAAATTTACATAACACTCATAAGTCCAAGACAGAAAAAGCAGCAGAAACAGAAACCGAACCGAACCGTGTTGAATATTTAAGAAAAATATGTAAAAAACGAAAGACAATTATATCTATCATCATCATCATCATCATCAAGACCAAATCTATATAATTATATAACCTGATGGATTATTATTATTTTGTTTCCACTTCTAACTCTGTTTGTTTGCTTGCTTGTTCATGATCCATTCAGTCATCCAAAAAAGTGTTGCTTATTTTCTTTTCTTTCATTCATTTTTCATATTTCTTTTTTAGTTTCGTTTTGTTTTGCTTTGATAATCATTATTATTATTATCATCAGACCGAACGAACAAACATCATGGTGGTCAATTGGTAAGCGTATGAGATTAATGGATATTATCATTATCATCATTCAGAAATTTATCATAATTATTATATGTAAAAACAGCAACAACAAACTGAAAATGATAATAATAATTTATAACAGCAACTTGTCGACAACTTTAATTTAATTTGATTTGATTTTCATTAATTCAAATGAATGAATGAACAAAAACTATCTTGGCGAGAAAAAACCTTTTTCAAGACAAAAAAATGTATCCAATTTCATCAGAAAAAATATGAATAATGTTTTTATAATCATCATTATTATCATCATCTTGGGTTATAATTGAAAAAAAACAATTACTATTATCATCCAACAAACAAACAAACAATCCTATTTACACCCCAACTACAAATAAAGAAAAAAGAAAGGATGCTTATAATCACGAATTTATTGAAAATAAAATGATAATTTTTGCATCATGTTTATCATCCATCCAGCATCATTATTAATCAATTTTTCATTTGAATTTGAATTTCTACTTTCCAGTAGCCAAATATGAAATGATAATTGAATTTTTAATTGTGTGTGTGTAAAAATAGTAAATTTACTTCTTTCACACTCACTAATTCACTATTATCATGTTTGTAATTTGGTATTTTGAATGTAACAATTTTTGTTTTTTCGGAAAACATGATGATCCGGTTTATGTTTCGAAGAGGCGAACAAAAAAAAAAATAGTTGCAATAACAACCAAAAGTTACATTTAAAAAAAATACGATAAGATAATTGACCTCAAACACTCAAACTACCTATAGCTCAAACTGCAAGGTAAAAAATGAAAAAAAAAACCTGAGAAAATTGTCGGCATTATCATCATCATTATCATTATAATGGTGTAATGCGATTTTCAACAAATTCAGCAGCAGCAACAACAAAAAGAAAAAGAAATTGTCATTGAAAAATTAAACCCAATAATAATCTCTTATATATCAATGTGTTTTTTTCTTTC